CAGCCATGGACGCTGCGTTAACGAAAAAAGAAAAGACGACATGATTGAGAAAGCCCACAGTACAATATTGTTGAGCCTTGGTGATAAGACTCTTCGACAGGTATCAAAGGAGACTACAACATCGGGATTATGGGTGAAACTTGAAAGTTTGTACATGACCAAGTCTCTGGTGAATTGACTCTACCTGAAGCAAGCTTTATATTCATTCAAGATGAGTGAAGACAAAGTGTTGGTTGAGCAATTGAATATGTTTAGCAAGTTGATTCTTGATCTTGAAAATATTGATGTGAAGATCGATGATGAAGATCAAACACTATTGTTGTTGTTGTTGTTGTTGTGTGTTTTTCCTAGAACACATGCTCACTTCAAAGAAACTCTCTTGTATTGAAGGGAGTCCTTGACCTTTGAAGAAGTTCGATCAACTTTGTATTCTAAGGACTTGAACAAATGAAAGGAGCATAAACCTTCGATGATGGGTGACGGTTTGGCCGTTAAGGGAAATTTTTTGCGAAAGGATGGTAAGTTCGACAAGAAGAAAAGTAAAAGTCAACAGAAATATTATAGTGGCGAAACATCTGGTATTCGATGTTATCAGTGTAAGAAGGAGGGCTACACAAGAAAGGTGTGCCCTGAACGCCTAAAAGATCATTGAGGTAATGGCAACGCATCCATTGTTCAAGATGACTTTGACTTATTTGATGTTCTTGTGGTTTCAAGTGGCGACTCGAGAAAAGAGTGGATTATGGATTCAGGTTGCACTTGGCACATGACTCAAAACAGAGAATTGTTCGAGGAGCTATGTGATCAAGATGGTGGATCTGTGCTGCTGAGAAACAACAAATCTTGCAAAATTGCAGGTATTGGATCTGTGAGATTCAAGCTCCATGATTAGTCAATAAGGTTATTGACTGAAGTCATATATGTACCTGACTCGAAGAGAAATTTGATTTCTCTTGGTGAAATCAACAAAAAGGGACATGCTCTTCAAGGAGAGAAAAGCATCCTAAGAGTCATGAAGGGGTCAAAGGAAGTCTTGAGAGGCGTGAAGAAACAAGGCTTGTATATCCTTGAGGCTGAGGTTGTAAGTGGTTCGACAAATATTGCATCCACGAAACCTATGTCGAAGACAGAATTGTGGCACATAAGATTGAGTCGTGTCGGCGAAAGAGGCCTGGTCTAATTGGGGAAGCAGAACCTACTAGGAGGTGACAATGTTGAAAAGTTGGAGTTTTGTGAATCTTGTGTATTTGGTAAATCTTGTAGGGAGAAGTTTAACAAAGGCAAGCAAAGAACACATGGATCCCTGGATTACATTCATGCTGATCTTTGGGGGCCTACAAGGAATTCTTCATACTCAGGTGCAAGGTATTTTCAATCCATCGTTGATGACTATTCCAAAAAGCTATGGGTATTCATTCAGAAGACGAAGGATGAAACTTTTGAGAATTTCAAAAGTTGGAAGATTCTGGTCGAAACTCAAACTGGCAGAAAGGTTAAGAGGTTGAGAACTGACAATGGCCTTGAATTTTGCAATGAAGCGTTCGAAAGTTATTATATTGAGTCTAGGATTGCAAGGCATAAGAATGTAGTAGGTACTCCTTAACAAAATGGCTTAGCTAACAGATTCAATCAAACAATCCTTGAAAGGGTTAGATGCATGTTGGTTAGTGCTGGATTCAAAAAGGTGTTTTAGGCGGAGGCTGTTTCGACAACAACTTACCTGATAAATAGATGTCCCTCAACTACCTTAGGAATGAAGACATCTGAAGAACTTTAGTTGGGACATCCACCTAGTCTTGACAGACTGAGAGTATTTGGCTGTATGGCCTATGCTCATATTAGGCAAGACAAGGTCGAACATAGAGCTCTGAAATACATGTTCATGGGATACCTTGAAGGAGTCAAAGCTTATAGGCTATGGTGCCTAGAGCTAGGTCACAGGAGGTATGTCACCAATCGAGATGTAGTTTTCAATGAAGCAGAGATGGAATTCAAGAAAGATGATGATGCTGACGAAGAGCTGGAACATGGAGAGATTCCCGTTGAGGTGGAGCATGTTGGTGATGAATTGTGTACCCCAAATAAAGTCAAAGAAGACACAAAAGATGTTTTCGAAGATGAGGAGACTGATAATGACTACCTTCTAGCGAGATACAGGTCGAGGAGAGTTATCAAGCCATCTCAGAGACTTGGGTATGCAGATATTATAGCTTATGCCTTAATCTCTACAAGTGAGGTTCTAGATGAAGAACCTAGAGAGTATAAAGAAGTTTTGAGGATTCGAAAGAAGACTGAATGACTGAAGGCCATGGATGATGAGATGAAATCTCTTCATGATAACAACACCTGAGAACTGATCAAGAAACCTGCTGGAGCTAGGTTAGTCAACTGTAAATGGATTTTCAAAGTTAAGGAAGGAATCAAAGGTGTGGCGTCGAAGAGATACAAGGCAAGATTGATTGCTAGGGGGTTCACTCAGAAAGAAGGTTTCGACTTCAATGATGTGTTCTCCCCTGTTGTGAAGCACATATCCATTCGAATGTTGCTTGCCACAGTGAACAGTTCGACCTTGAACTAGAACAGATGGATGTGAAGACTACGTTCTTGTATGGTGATTTAGATAAAACAATCCTGATGAGGCAACTTGAAGGGTATGTTGAAAAAGGGAAGGAGGATTATGTGTGCAAGCTGAATAGATCCTTATATGGACTGAAACAATCTCTTCGACAGTGGAATAGGAGATTCAACAAGTTCATGGCACGCATAAGTTTCATCAGAAGTCAGTTCGACCATTGTGTTTACTTCAGATTTCGACCGGGTAATTCATTTGTTATTTTGTTGCTCTATGTGGATGATATTCTAACAACAAGCAACAATGTCGAAGACGTAATGAGGGTGAAGGTTGAACTCAATAAGGAGTTCGACATGAAGGATCTGAGAGTTGTGTCCAAGATTCTTGGGATTGACATCTGAAGATATAGAAAGCAGTCGAAATTATGCTTATCTCAAGAGGCATACCTACGGAAGTTTCTCGAAAAGTTTGGTATGTCGAATTCAAAGCCTGTTATGACTCCGGCAAACCCTCAATTCAAGCTGAGTATAAATCTATGTCCCAACACTGATGTTGAAAGAACTTATATGAATAGTATTCCATATGCTAACATAGTAGGTTCTTTGATGTACGCTATGGTCTGTACTAGACCCGACATAGCATATGCAGTAAGTCTTGTAAGCAGGTACATGGCGAATCCTGGAAAGGCTCACTGGCAAGCATTGAAGTGGATTTTAAGGTACATAAATAGGTCTCTGAATAGTCCTAACTTATGGTGGAGCCTTGGGTGAAGATAGTAAAGCAGCAACCGAAGGATATGTCGACTCTGGTTATGCAGGTTGTATGGATTCCAGAAAATCTATTTCGGGATATGTGTTCACTATGTTTGGGACATCAATCAGTTGGAAAGAAACACTTCAGAAGGTCGTTGCCTTATCAACCAGTGAAGCAGAATATATTGTCCTAACTAAAGCTATGAAGGAAGCATTGTGGCTTGAAGGTTTTGCAAAGGAGGTAAAACTTCAAGGTTGAGTTATCATTGTTAAATGTGATAGTCAAAGTGAAATACACCTGTCGAAGAATTCAGCCTATCATAAGCGAACCAAACACATTGATGTGAGGTTTCATTTCGTCAGAGGGGTAATCGAGCGTGGAGAAGTCCAAGTGCTGAAGGTTTTGACAGATCATAATGCTGCTGATATGACCACCAAGACGTTGCCCAGTTACAAGTTTTTCCACTGTATGCAGTTGATAAAGATGCACGAAGAAAGCTAGTTTCTTGATGTTATAGAGTTAGATCCAAGGTGGAGATTTGTGAGATGTTGGATCGAACTTTAGTATGGTCGAAGGGTAGCTTCTGGTTTGACAGGAATTAAGCATGAGGTCGAAGTTTGTTCGCATGTTGTTGTCAGAGTAATGTGTGTTGTAGTCGAAGTTTGTTCTAACATGCATTAGTCAATATTGCTAGGGTTGTTAGCATGTAGAATTTGGTCTCCTTGTTTGCATGTAGAATTGGGTATCCTTGTTTGCAAGCCCAATTGTTTAAGTTAGCTTGTACCCTAAGTTAGCTTGTAACGAATAATTGTTAAAAAGTCTATTAGGTTAGTGCGTTATTTTTCTTATAAATAGGACGCTAGTTTCTCAATCTTGGCATAAGAAAAAATAGGAAGATAAAATCCTAATTTCAAGAGAGAGAGATTATTTTATTATTCTTGTATAGTTGTAATCTTGTTCTATGAGTAAGGAAAGGATAACGGTTTATAATCAATCCTTGTTGTTCATGGTTGTTTTACCTTATTTTCTTTGTTAACCCTAACCCTTGTGTGTTTCTTGATCATAAAGAAATCGTTTATATTTTGTTTAAAGACATCTGATTCACAACTTCTTTTATTACTTTTTCTTCTCTTTTAGCTTGGCTTGGTTGAGGTCTCATCTGATTACTATTGTTTTTTATTTTGTATTTATTTTTATTTTGCTCTATATGAGCACCTCTTTTTATGACAGTGACTTGATCTTGTTTTTCATGTACCCTGGCTCCACCACTCTTTGTATTCTTGAATATTTGTTGCCTTTTATCTTCATATATGTATATAATATTTTCCTTTAAAAAAAGAGTTCTATTCTCGAAATAATTTAGAGTTTTTCAATCTATTTTTAGATATGGTGGATTGAGAAATTTTCATTAGTTGGCCGCAATTTTGTAATATTCCTAATAAAAAAGCTTTTGATAACAGTTAAAAAGCTTACAAACAAGTTAATTGGTTTGTTAAGAACACAATTGAAACTAAGCAAATGGAAAGTGCTTATAATATGTGAAATTTACCTGCAAATGAAACTTAACCAAAGCATCTATAAAGTACCATTCAAACCTACAGCATCCTACTAATACAACCACATTTTGCCTATGTTAAGAGGGTGGAATCCAACTGAACTCACATTCACATTAAAACTACATGTAAGCTTCTTTATTTTCATGGCACTTTTGTCTTGGAAACCGAAAAGATTGAGTGAACACACAACTAAATAAACATTTGTTTTTCGTGGCTATTTCATGTATTTTTTCTACCGGAACTTTTTTCGCATCATTAAGTATCTCATGGCGAAACTTAATATCAGAAACCAATCTTTTAATGCAGTACGTTCCACAGCTAGCCAATGTTATGCCACAAAAACTTGAGGTCACAAACCTAAGCGGTAAAGTAGCTATTGAACTGGCAGCAGCCGAGCAAGAAGCAGCTTGTCCACTTCCGCCGGCTACACTGATGTTTCCGGTCACAAGGAGACCTGTTTTGCAATAAATTGCAAAATCTTCACAGTTGTTCTTGAAGACATTGTAGTCACCGAATCCATTTTCAAGAAGATAAATAGCGCGGCAAATGACTTCTTCTGCTGGATCAGAAGAAGCAAGGGTGCATGTACCTCCTCGAGCTTGGGCTAGAAAAAGAGCACAGGATACACCATACTTAAAGAGGTATAGTTCACCTCCAGAAAGGAAACAATCTAAGCATGACATGATGACACCATTACTCTTCGTTTGGTTAGCATCAACACATTTTTGGCATGGAATGCGAGCATTCAAAGCGGGGAATGAACTTGTAAAGAGACGGTCGAAAAGAGTTTGTGTTCCACTTGTTCCTCTTGTGAAGTTGATTACCATTCCTTCTCGAACATATATTCCTGTTATCATACAAAAATGCAGTTAGCAGAACACAAATATGACATTAGCTTCAGCATCATTGTAATAACTGAAAAGCAAGAATAGGTTTGAGACATAAGAATATGATACATAGTTGAATATGAATATGTAAATTCACATATGATTAAGAGAAAGAAGAAATGACCGTGATGGGCATAGAGGTAAGCCTGCCTCAATGAGTAAATGTGATCTCCTGGTTTCAATTGTTTCCTATCAATCTTATTGGAAAGAACTTCCATCTTAATGCTTTGCAAAGGTGAAGAGTGAAATATAATGAACGAATACAATTTTTATGTCCTAGACCTTTCAGTTTTTCACTAGTAGTATACTTTAAGGCAAACGATAATAGTAGCACTTATCGAGGCAAGTTAATATACGTTTATTAATAGCCTTTAGCTATTCAAGATGCATGGAATATTACTTTTTGATTTTAACCACATACGTAGAACTAGAAGGTAAAGGGGCAAGGTATTTTCCATAAGGCTCAAGAATTAAATCATTTTAAAATGCTTTTTTCATCTTTTATATGCGATCTCTCACTACTACCGTGAAAATTCACAGATTTCTTAGTGTTTGGATTTACATCAACGAAAGCATCTTTTTCACATACACTTCAGATGAAATTGTTAAGAAACCGTTATTCTATTAAATTTATTACAGAGATGCATCTCCATATGCATAAAAGATTAATTCAAAAATGTATTTTCCTAACGTGCCTTAGTTGAATATTTAATGAGTTTTTCAAAAATGTATCTTCAAAATATATCATTTTAATCAAAATCGGAAACAATTAGGAAGAATGACAAAATAATGGAACAATAATATAAATTAACTTCAAAATAAAGAAAAAAACATATTTTAAGTTCGCATATATTAGAAAAAATTGAAAATTCTAGAAGGTCAGAAATTCAGAAATCGAGAAAAATAAAAACTAGTGATGCGAGAGCCGCGACGGGGCTCCGACGGTCGAGCAGAGCCGCGCGGCGAAAGTTTCGGGTCAGACCGCGAAGGAGGGGTCTAAAATCGGAAGTCTGTGGTGGAGTTGCGGTTGTCGGAAACTGTGCGGCGGTAGAGGGCCACACGAAGCGTCGATGATCGGTCGGAGTTAGCTAGTAGCCAACTGGAGTGAGGCGGAGGTCAGTGGCAGCAAGCCTGTGCGGCGGTAGGTCTGTACAATGGCCAACGATGATCTGCTGGTCTGTCTATACGATTTTCGTTTTTTTCACTAATTCATTCAATTTTCCAATTCGCGTGTTTTTGGGACTTTTCGGTTCAATTCGTGGATCCATTTTCTAATGTGTTATATTTTTGGGCTTTGTTATAGATATGTTAGATTTTTACAATTATAAATATGTGTCTCTTTTGTTATTGTACGTGTGACAATCTTGAGAGCGTTAGAGCTAAATGGAGAAATAAGGGTTTAAGGTAAATGGAAACTTTTAGCGCTATCTAGAGGAATCAGAAAATACTTCTTAACTTCTTTGGTTTGTGTGATTACTTTTGAGAGTTGGAGAGGATGAGAAACACTTAGGTAGAAAATAGAGTTTGTTCTTGAAGACTCTTAAGGTTATTTTCTTGTAACTCATTTGTAATCTCTTGTAACAAGTTTTGGAGTATAGTGAATTAGAGAGTTGCTCTCTCCCTTAGACGTAGATCATTCAATGAAACTGGGTAAACAAACCTTTTGTGCTTTTTGCCTTATTTTATTTTATTTTGCTAAAATCATTGTTTGTTGGTTATTATTGCTGAAAGACACTTGTTTGGTTGCCATTGTTCTTTGTCCCCAGTCATCAAACTTCGTGATATGAATTGAACCTTATCATTTTCACAATAGTTAAAATAAATTTAACATTACATTTAATTATAAACTGGTGGTTCATGACGTTTCAACATCCTTAGAATATCTTGATTCGATCTCCCAATTGTTGCATCCACTTCAATCAGATCCTTGTTAAGTAATGGTAAAAGGAATTCCACATAACCTTTCAATCATCATTCGTCTTTAGTTCAAGCATGGTGAAACATATCTTCCCTTTGTTATCAATCGAGGGTGAACGGTACTCGAGCTTGACAACTCTCTGTTTTTATGAATATCGCACAAAAATATTCAATTTGGATTTTAGATCGACGAGAAGTATGTCACTGGAGACCTAAAATTGAAGTGGGTGTTTTGCGCCATTGTAATACACAAATGCAAGATGAGGATATGTATTCATTTGTGTTTGTGTAAAGTAAATGGATAGATCTTATTTATAAATGTTGTTTATCAATAAAAACTTTACAAACCCTATCATATCATCATGGGGCTTTACGGAAATGCACATCATTATACTCTCATGTTTCATTTTTTTAATAATTTAAAGGTGCATCCAAAGATGCATCTTTGGATACGCCCTATTTTTTTTCTCCAGAAATTAGGGGATTTATGGAGATGTACATCCATAAAGTCTCTTGTATTGTTTCTTTATAAGTAAAATATGTGTCTGGAGATGCAACTTCAGATCCATCCAACCCACTCTTCACACAAAACCAGTGTATTCTGCAGTATAGAAATTAGAAGCACAAAAATTGTCCAAAAATTACCACCAAATTTTATAACATTTTATGGTGCGTTACATACAAAAAACTAGTTACATTGTTAGATTAAAACTAAAATGCATTAAAAGATATGTGACTACCTAAATCTAGTGGTTCATTCTTTGATCTTTCCTTATTTGTTTCTCTTTTAATATTGCTCAACTTGATGAACTCTTACATCCATTATAGAAAGTGATCCGACCAAGTTTCAACATCTTGCTTGAAATGTGTCGTCCACTCCGGTGATGTCTTTGGTATAAGACATCCCAGTTTCAAATAAACCTGAACAAAATGTTATTTTTTTTATAGTCAACCAATACACATGACGCGTTTGGATAGATTTTGAGGTGACTTACTCCAAATTAGAAATAATGTTTCCTAGAAATCATATCGTGTTAAATCAATACACACTCTATCATAAGCAATTATTATAATATGTTCGATTTTCAGGAAGCACGTCCATTTTTTAAACGGTGTCAGACCACTAAGATAAGGAACATGAGCATTGAGAATTGCATCATAATTTTATTTGTTTTCGTATAGCTTTGTATATGATTCCCTATGAGTTATCATCTCTTGTATAAGATAACGACAAATAAATTGGTAGTCACTCTCTCCTTCACCGAGCAAACTTGAAACAGCTCAAAAGCTATAATTGTCGTCACCTTCAAGATTTACAACCCCTTTAATGTATTTGTGCATAAAAAGCGGTATCTCTTCAATGTGTTTTATTTTTGGTAAAGGCAGTGGAGGAGATGGTTTGCTAATGTGAGCACCATTTGAAAACACTTATTTTTGGGACTTTGGAGTCAAAGAACTGGAAAATGTGAGTCAGATTTGTTTCGAGTGTCGTGTGGAGTCGTCACTTTGTGTCATTTTTTTACCTTTTAAGGGACACCCTTTGTTTCAACCAATTTCGATGATGGTTTCAAACATGTTGTTTATGGATAGAAAATCTTTTTTTTTTCTCTCTGATGTGCAGTTTCATAATGTCATCAGCTTTCATGAATCTCACTTGAATCACTTCTCATTTGGTTATTATAAATATGTTTGATTTAATATCCTTCATCACACCATCATCATCAAAATCAAGCCTTTTCCAATGAATGCAAACTTCATCCACACTTTGAGCTATATGAGCTTGTTTTATCTGCATGAAGCCCGAGATACATTACCAACCAATTATGAATAAATGATGTTGTCTTTGGATCGGTGTTCTAACACAGTAATGCTCCAACCAAAATATGTATGTATTTTATTAAGTTGGTTTTAGAGCATTTAGTTCAATCGTCCTAATCTTGAAAAAAAATCATCTTTACTGTTTTCCAACTAATTCTTCAGTCTATCATGTGTAGATTCAACTCTGTTAATTGTTGTATTTCCAAATCCAACTAATTCTTCAGCCTATCATGTGTAGATTCGACTCTGTTAATTGTTGTATTTCCAAAGTGTCAAACATGATAGGTCAAGGAACAAATAATATTTTCTTTAACCTGATCTAAAATAGTGCCCTCGACATATTTTAGCAAATCTAGATATCTCTCACACACTCCTAAAATTTATTATAGATTTGGCATAGAATTCTTTTATGGAAGAATTTAGTATACCATTCCATGCCTCCATTATAGTTTCCACCACCATACCAGGTTTGACCATTTTTCCATCTTCAACTTTGACTTGTTTGATGCAAACCACAGGTTTTACTCGAATTCTCGCATTTTTATGTGATACTTACAAAGTAATATGGACGATGCAGGAAACATTGTTGCAAACAAATTCATCAATGCGGTATCGCAATCGGTGGTTATTACCTATGGCATTTTTTCTTGGTCCTTCAACATAGTCTTGCACATTTCCAAAGCCCGTGTTAGATTATCCTTTTTTTTCTTCAGATCCCTAAAATGCAAAATCGATTGAAAAAGTTATCTCCCTAGAAGTAACACCAACAATTTTAAAGATTGGAAGTCTATACTTGTTTGTTTTATATGTTGAATCAATTATGAGCACGGTGGGAAAAATGTTGAACAACTTCATGGAATCGGGCTGTCTCTAAAATATATCTTGAACGATAACTTTCTTCTCATAAACTTTGTACCTAGAAACATAGTCGTCATCTTCAAAAGTTTCAACAGTTGTTGCATCTCATGTCTCAGTCCTTTTACCGCCTTGTTGTTTAAAACACACATTGTATATTTTCTCGATATTTGAAACATTTAGAGGTTTTTTCTATTTCAAAGATGCGAGTATGTCTTTCGGTGCCACCATGTTTAGTGTCATGTATGAAATAGGTTCCCTCTCCTTCGAAACAATGAGGCATGCAATGGGATGACCGACTAGCTTGTCCGTCAAGGCATGATTATGTATACCGGAAGTCACGTTAAATTTCTATGTTTCATCCGCCATACAGTATTCACGCGATTTAAACGGAGACTTACATTTTCTCGATCTAATGTCATCTCGTTTGAACTTTCTAATCTGTGGTTGTTACATGCCACTTCTTTTGCATCTCATTGTTACAAATGTTTGTCTTCTATCTAAACCATTGTTGAACCTTCCAATTACAACACCAACCCCCAATTTCTCGCCGTCCATACAGACCTTTTGTAGCATATGTTCATGAGCAATAAACTCTTGTTTATTCATAAACTATGCACGAACATCT